GGGGGTAATTTTTCCTTCTCAGAGAAACCCTCCACCAATGACTGACTGAAGTTGGTAAATACCCTAGCTCCTTGGATGGGATAACTCTAAGTTATATTGTATATGGCCTCCCAAAGTTCCAAGGTAGAATTAAGGTATAATTGCCTAAAATGGTAATTTGCTTCATCGATACACATTAGCTTCTTTCTTTTTCCTTCCTGCCTTCCTCACTCATCTGTCACCTCTGTAAAAAACTACATTGACTCCTATATCTATTCTAAGTTTACTTCTAAGATAATCCGAACTAAGACAAAGGGATTTAAAGATGAATACAATTTGGATTCTGCTTTTAAGAATTTCACTCTGAAACAGGAAGCCACTAATACTACAAACCGACAATAAAAATAATAAAAGAACTACACAATCTTAACATGTAAATACAGTTGTTGGCCCAACTGAAGATGATAATATTGCAATTTTAAATGTGCTATGTATCATTGGAATGTTGGCTGATGGTCCTTCCCATAATTTTAGATATTATTCTCACTAGGGAAAAGCTGCAAGACTACCTTTAACAGTTATCTTGATTAAGAAGCCGTTTTACCTTGTTGCCATGCCATATTGTTTTAATACTTCCAGAATTCTGGACTATAGCAAAAAGGTAACAATGGTAGGAGTATTACAAGTTTCAATTTCATGACAGCTATGAAACAAAAGGGAAACCAGAATAATATATTGATTCTACCTGATTAGAGAACGCATATATAGTGCTATAAAGTGAAATTTTTCCTTACATCAAACTATTGATATTTCATTAGTCTCCAATGCAACTATATGAAGAACAAGATGAAATCAATAACCTGACTAACACCATTTTTTGGTTTCTGACACTGAAGGAAGTTCATTTACAGTGCAACAGTAATGAACAACAACAACAAAAACAGGTAGTATTGCTAAACATTTCCCAGAAAACAATGTGTCATGAAGTAGCATCTTAGACTAGATGAGGACCGCAGGCATTCCAGGGAAAAACTGGTGCAAAAACCTGATTCAAGCAACTAGGTATTTGAGTTGCTGTGAGTTTACTCAGTTTCTGCTCAGGTGACTTGTTTACTAATTTATGTTTTACTCTTCTGAAATGATCAAACTAAGACAGTACGGAAGTCTGAAGCTAGAATATGGCTCTTATAAACAGTTTAGATGTTTCTATTGCTTTAAGAAGCACTGACAGCATTTAAAAAAAAGGGTAACATGGTCTAAATTTCAGAAAGACCCCCACCATTTTTTTTTTCAGAACAGATTATAGAGAGGAAAAACAATAAGTGATCATTGGAATAGAACCTAGTGATGATGGGTAGATTAGGATACTAGTAGTAGGGGTTAATTCTGGATAAATCAGATAAAATATTTCTGGATATAAATAACCAAATATCCAACCTAAGGGTATTATATATTTTAAAGAAATAGAGCCGGCTCAATGACATCCTCAAACAATCTTGTACTTCCAAACTTTTTAATCATTATCAACCTGGAAGCGTTGTTAGATGATAACCACTAACAATGAAAACTAAATGCCCTCTTATTTACATTTAGAGGGAGAGGTTGGCTTCATATAGCTATTTTATGAGGTAAGACTCCTTTTTGCCAAATGATTTTAACACCTCTTTAGTTCCACTGGCCCAGAGTTACTCAAATCTGTTCTCTGCTCCATCCCTTATCCAAACACTTGCAAGGGAGGTGATGGTTGTTAGAACTGGCTGAAGATAAAGTAGGTCCCACCCAGACTTGGGAATGGTTTTATATCATGTGGCCTAGGTGAAAGGATGGATACCTAAGTGGATAAAAAGATTAAGAAAAAGAAAGGGGGAATGGATGCTGAGTAGGCAAGCAGTGCTATTATTAACCATATGAAATATGCTTTGGAGGTAAGAGTTGACAGAGTTTGCCAATGGATTGGATACAAAGAAAATGGAGAAAGCCAGGAACGGTGTGGAACATCTGTAATCTGAGACAGAAGGATTATAATTTTGAGGTCAGCCTCAGCAACTTAGATCCTGTCTCAAAATAAAGAATTAAAAGGACTGGGAGTGTAGCTTGGTGGGAAAGTGCCCTGAGTTCAATCCCTCATACTCCGCCACCCCATCAAAAAAAAAAAAAAAAAAAAAAAACAGAACAGAGGATTAAAAAACGGTTCTTATATTTTTTTGCTTCAACAACTTGATATAAAAGGTGACATGGGGAAGTCTAGAGAAAAAATCAGGTTTGAGGACAATCAATTCTGTTTTCACCAAGCTAACTTTAAAATACTTACTAGACTTTGCAGAGGCAATCAAAGTTATTAGCTGGATATAGTTTGGAGTTTCAGGGACAGGCCAAAACTGAGAAGATGGATTTGAAATCATGTATATTTTTTTTAAAAACAATTATCACTGATGACTATAGAACATATGGATAAATCAAGAAGTAAATTCAGGACAGTCTAAACAAATCTGGAGTCAAGATGTAGAGGTGGAGTAAAACAGGACACTTCAAAGTACAATAAAACGCAAGACCAAACCCACACACAGTATCATATATGTGGGTAGAAGGAGGGTGGTGCAAATTGTCAGCTCCCTGCCAAAAGAGTGAGATTCACTGCTCCTCTCAACATGGAAGCGTAGGACAGAAAGGCTCTGAGTAAATTTTATAAATTCACTGTAGACCAAAAAACATCATTAAAAGCAAGACATTAGTAGGATATCAAATAATCTTTCAAAAAGGAGTTGGACTAACCTCTAAATTAAACATTTAGTGGGAATGGGATAAAAGAATCCTTTGCCACCTCTAAGCCAAGACTGAGAGAAAATGGCAATAATTACATCTACAATTTGATTTCAAATGAAACTGAATTAACAGAAAATTATTGGGAAGTGGTTAGAAAAATTATAAGGCAAAAGGGGAGTCATCAGTAAGAGAAATATTTACGTCTGCATCAATTAAAAACTTCTACAATGGAGCAAATTTGCAATAAACATTTATTTTGTATCTACTAAGCTAAAATTTAAGGACTTATGTTTAAAAGACTATAATAATGCTGTTGAAAGAGAAATCCAAAATTTATAGAATAGTCACTATCCTTGGGTTGTTTTTAATCATTTCATAGCTGAGTGAGATTATGGGCAAACTACTCACCTTGGTGCTTCAATTTCCTTATTTGTGAAATGCAAATGACATTGTCTCAGAGTTGTGAAGATTAAGACATGAAAAACTTAGAACAATGCCTGATACATAGTAAACACCATGAAAGCATTAATTATGGGGAGGTAAGGAAACTTCCATATAAGCAGTATCATGTATAGGTTTAAAAATAAAACAAAAAAATTCCAAAGAACTTACCAATCAATCATCAAATGTTATTTAATCTTTAGTTAAACCCCAAGTACTTCACTTTACAAAATAGGAAAACTGTTGCCAGTTGTTTTGAAGCTTGCTCAACAGAACACAAAGCTAATAAGTGGCCTAATTATGCCTCCAATCTTGATTTAACACCAGAACTCTTGTACTTTCCAATATTCAGGAAACGTGGACTCTAGTTCTATATGTACAGGATTGCTAACTAGGCAATCCTGAGCCCTTTCACTTCCTTAGTGTCTGTGAGACTGTTTTCTATTTGTTAAAATAGAAATACTAGGTTCCTCCTGCCTGCTTCACAGGGTTATTGTGAAGATCAAAATTTAAAGAAATCTATAAACTGTAAAATTCCATAATTTTTTTCAGATGCCAGACTAGTCTCACTTCCTACCTCTGATATGCTTCACCATCCTGATGCCAAATACCAATTTCCAGGTACCCAATCATTAACAAAGAAAATTGATGAAACCATATTATGGATAAAACACTTTGGATAAATACAGATAACCCATTAAAGTCTCTGCCCAATACCTATGAGGTTTCAAAATTGTACCTCATCAATTTAAACTGAAATCACATAAAGTAACCATCACTCTGGGTCCTGATCTGACATTGTAAAGGTGACCATTGTTATATGAGATCCAATGGTGACACTATCCGCTAACCAGAACACCAAAAAAATAGACCTCAAAATATTTCTTAGAATGTTGCTACATTAACATGACTGTGCTTCACTATACTTATAAAAACATAACTTATCTGTACAGGACTTTTACACTTCCCAAAGTTCTTCTGTGTTCCACATTCTACTTGATCATCTAGTAGTTCTGTCAGGGAGCCAAGGCAGGTTTATTCTATCTTAAGAGAAAACATATTTATATTCAAAATAATTTTGAGGCATAACATATTTTTAGGTCCTATCTTGGTGTCTGTTTACTGCATTGAGTTACATATGCTTTACGTTTGATATCACTCAACAGTAGTGAGTAATTCTATTGAAGTAACACAAGTTTGAAAATATTCCTTTAAAAAACCCTGTACATTAGTGTTAGTTTAAGTTTTATCAGAAAAAAAAAAATCCTTTTCAAACTGAATATCCAACTGACAACAGTATAGTAATAGCAACACTTTGTAGAATTTTCTCTGCAGTACCTGAGAATATACATATGTTGATAAAGTATTTTCAGCCCACTTCCCAAATGTTAAGAGAAGATACTATTGTTACAACTGTGATCAAACATTCAATGGAATGTAAATACTAAAAATACTAAACCATTAATAATATTGATGGCTCAGGAACTACATAAATTATAGCAATTTAAAATGACTAATATTTTAGAAACATGGGTTCTGAGAGGTCATCTTATAAATGTCAGTGAATACTGCTTAAGCTATCAAAATATAGAATAATGTAATATGTAAGAGGTACTTCATAAAATTGAACTAACATTTAATTGATGTGGCTTAAGGAAGGTACTGGATTGGGAACCAGATAAATTCATTTAACTTGATTCTCAGTGAACCAATTTTTCTTTTTTCAGTTCATAATATGAAATTTTAATGTCTCAGTACAATAATAAGGTTCTGGAAAATCATGACTACAGTGAAAACATCAAGAAGCCTGAACCAAATCAAGATTAGATCAAAACATTTATTTTGTGTTACAAAAACAAAAATAAATTCAAGCAGATAATGAAATAAACGTTTTCTTAAAGTATTTCGTCCTTGGTTCTCTGTTCTAGAATTTAGTATACAGTTCAAGTGTAGGGTACTTCAGCACTTCTTTTGGATGCTATGAAGTCTCCATCTTATAACCATGTTTCTCTAGTTCAGCTCTATAATAGAATACAAATAACAACACATCAGTAGGCATTTTTCACAATAAATCAAAGAAACATGATAAGAAATAATACCAGTAATAAATAAATGAGTTAAAATGGGGCATTAGCTTAAAATATTACTAAACTGCTTTATTTTAGACCCTAAAAATAAACCTGTAAGAAGGAAATTGGATGTGGATCACATAATACTAATAAAATTTTGCTTCCATTAGTTAATTTTATCTTCCTTAATTTTCTTATATATCATTTATGGAGAAACATGAGAGATTTATTATTATCCTCTAAATACCTTCCAAATACCACACAAATATTCTGTTTCTAACAAATACTTAAAAATATATTTTTGTTTGCTTGTGTTTTGGTGGTGCTAGAGATTAAACTCAGGGACTCAAAAATGGTAAACTACATTCTTAGCTCCTTAAACAAATTCTTAGAATAATTAACCTATAATCATCATAAGTTGTACATACATGAGAATAAACACACTCCTTTCCATATTGACATATCATATCAATTGTTCTAACATAGGAGAAAATTAATCAAATTTAAGGGTGTGAGAATTTTCTGTATTATAAATGTCATAAAATGTTAGACTTTACTTTCCTAATATTAAATGTGAGTGAACATCTCAAGTTTAAATTGGTATAAATGAACACACATTAAAGAAACATTTTTTGTCATTTTATCTATTTACTTTTGGTAGCAGGGGATTGAACCCAGGGGCACTTAACTACTGAGCTACATTCCCAACCCTTTTTGAGACAGGGTCTCACTAAATTGCTTAGGGCTTCGCTAATTTGTTGAGGCTGGCTTTGAACTTGTGATCCTCCTGCCTCAGCCTTCTGAGCCACTGGGATTACAGGTGTGTGCCACCATGTCTGGCTTGTCATTTTAAATAATTTATCCAACTTGACATATTAGTCATAGAGAATATCAACTGCAATTGTTGATTATCCTTCTATAAAACATTAGCACAAAAAAAGTTAAATCCTGTAATCAACTTTAATTATTTAAGTGACTATTCCAGATATTACCAGCAACTTTCCTACCACAATTCAGATTTTATAAAATTTTGTGATAAAATTATTGGAGGAACAGTCTGATATAACACTTTAAATGTAAAGTATGGTTAATATGTTCTATATCATTATATCCAGAAAGAAAAAAAATGTTATCTTGTGTAATATGGCTTAGATAATATTATATTGTCCAATGTAACCACAATGCGAAAAAACACATGGTTAAAATGACGTATAATATTTATTATTCATTTTCCAAAATTCCTTTACTTAAAAATTTTATAATACAAATGATGACCTTATTTCCATGATTTATATTAAGACCAGAGATCATTCAAATGATTGAACCTTGTCTTCTGCTTAGGTGTAGAGTATAGTGTGAGCTGGTGACATAAATGCTGAATTAGAAATCAAGAGCCCAGTGCAAGTCTCGAACTCTGGCCCTACTACTTTTGTGAAGTCTTAACTGAATTGCTTCATTTGGGCTCTTTCCCCTTCAATTAGGAAACTGAAGATTATAATATCTATCCTTTATATATAACATATCTCCCTGGCTTTGAAGGTTAAATAAGAGAAAATTATACAAATGTAATATAGCATTAACATAAATACTAAGGTTGAAGGAAAAAGCTAAAGATTTCTATTTTTTCTCATCACAGAAAGCTCCTCAAATGTTTCCTACAAGATTCTTGTTATAATTCTATAAGAAACGTGATTATCTTTGAATTTTATATCATTCTAAAATGTAATATTTTTCTGACTTATTTAGTTTTAAAACTCAATTAAGTTTTCTATTCCTTTTTAACAAGATCACTATCAGTTAATCACTTTCTCTTACTTTAATAACAACAAAGCCCTGGGAGTTCAACCTAAGACTTAAATAACAAGTACACAAAATGTATCCTTCAGGTTCATGTCTATCTGCCTTACTGATAGGAAGTGGTCATCAATTATATTTATAAAATTGTTTATGAACACAGATGCTGAGAAAACCCTCTAAATGAAATTCTTAGAGAATATGCAAAATTCTTTAAGAACTTAAAAGTATAACAAGCCAGAAGAAAAAAATTGAGGTCACTAAGTATAAAACAAAAACACAGTAACAGCATGAGACTGCTGAATGGAAAAATCCAACAGAGACCAAAAAAGGGGGGAAAGAAACCTGCACAACTGGAATATTACAGAACACACAGTGAATATAAGACTATTTAAAACACACAGTAATAGCATTCCTTTTGCAAACCAAACATGAAAAAAAGACTAATAACAACAATTAGGTTTTCAGCTTTATCACAGTGGCTATTTCTGATCATTCAGGAACTACGAATCTTCTTGGAATTTTCATATAAGGTGATAGAGGATTGGAAAAAACCTTATGATACAACCTATTTTTACTGATAGGTGGAGAAATTATATAAAGTCAGGAGGAGCAAAAAAATACAATGACTCTTATTTTGGAGACAAAGATGACCTTATGCTATTTGTTTAAAGTCATCAGACTGAAAGAGGAAAAGGAACATGGAAAGTAGGCCTACTATATTGAGTTTTTGTTTAACATACACCATAAACACTTTACATATATTAACTAATTTATAATAAACTTATGAGTAAAGTAGTAATTGTTATCTGCATTTTATATCTGAGAAAAGTTGAGTCAAAGGAAATTTAAATGACTTGATCAGGGTCCATGTAACCATGTAGCTAAATAAGAGGCAGATCCAGCATAGGAAAATATAGGCAGTATGAATGAATCTAAAGTCTAAGCTGTCTCTCAAAGTTAGATGGGATTAGGGATCAACAATGATAGAAAATAGTAAAATGTGTCCTTTACCATGACTGATGATACATTGAGGTTCTCCATGCATTTTACAAAGACCAAAAATAATTTTTGCAGGAGACTTCTTAATTACAACAAAAGTTTTAAAACAAAGATTATCTGTGTTATTTAATATAATAGTCATAGTGACTATTTAAATTAAAAATTTAGTTCATCATCTGTGCTAGCCAGATTTCATGTAAACAATAGCCATATGTGACTAGTAGCTTCTGTTCTAGATTGTGTAGCTCAAAGAACAATCCATTATTATATGTAAGTTCCCCTTAGTAGGGGGAAAAAACTCATAATTCAAATGGAGAAATAAAAACACTTTATCACTAGTGGTCATGTCACAATTTATATACTTACGGAAATTAAGAAAACAAAAGGCAAAAACACAACAGAGAAAACAGAAGCACCTGGAGGCGTATTATAAAAATAGTAAGTCATAAAGAATAAGAATACATGGATAATGTTTCTAAGCCAGTAAAAAAGGGCAAGAGGTGATAGTGATGAAAAATTCAATTACTGATACATTTACTACTAAAACCCCTTATCATAATATTCACCAGTGTTAAAATTTTTAAACGAAAGATGTTATTAAATGACTAATGAAAGATAGAAAAGAAACAAAATCTCATGATATCTGATCTTTTTGAATGACAAAGGAAGAAAAAGTCATTTAGCCTCAAATTTTTAAATTCCTAGAAATTATCAGGAAAGAAAAACTGTTACATAATTAAGAACATGAATACAGCTCAACAGCATTGGAAAGCCTCAAAATAAGCATTCTAACAGGATAATATGACTCCAAATGGGAAGGTGCTTACTGTACAAGAAAAGTGGCATTCTCTAATGTAGTTCAGTTTTAAAAGCATATAAAAACAGAGATTAATGAAAAAGAAGGCATCTAAACTCCTATATATAGAATAAACTCTAGTTCAGAATGGATTGAGATTCATAAAAAGACCAAAAAGGGCTATTTTAAGAGGCATATACTGATCAAAGAGAATGAGAAAGGATAGGTCCAAGGACCTATAATGTAATGTTAACAGATTTTAGAGAAAAAGCAAGACTGTTCAATAGCTATCATTCTTACTTTGTCCATAAAACTATAAAAGGAAAAACATCATTAAGACACAATTGAAAACCAAAGTGCAACAACTCCAAACTGTATAAAAGTAGTTTATAATAAAAAGATAAAATTAAAAACCTGAGTCAGAGATCTTTGAGAAATCATGGAGAACTATAAACATATTAGAATAACAGTGAAAAGTAAATTGTACTATTTCCAAAAAAGAGAAAAAAGAAATGGATAAATTTGTTATTAGTCTTTAGTAAAATTCTAAAGAGCCTTTAGAATATAAGGGTTTTGAACCCATTAAAAAACAAAACAAAACAAAAAACTGCATTGCACAAAAAGCAATATTGTATCATTATTAAAAATAAATTTTAAACCAGGGAATGACCCAGCAATGCCTATAATCCTAGAGACTTGTTACACAAACAGAAGTTTGAGGCCAGGCTTAACAATGTAGTGAGACTCTGTTTCAAAATAAAAATCTCAAAAGGACTAAGGATGTGGCTCAATGGTAAAGCACCCTGGATTAAATTCCTAGTACCATAAATAAATTAATCAATCAATAATTTTTAAAAATTAATTATAAAGTTATCTTACTTTCCTTTGAAATAAACAAGAGACCTTCTTTCTACATCTTGTTTTGAGCAAAGCATGTGACAGATTTAGATATCCTTAAGGTCAAGATAGATAAATATAAGCTGAATCAAAATTACAATTAGACGGAAAAGAAATGTCTATTCAACAAATGGTCTGAGGACAGCCAAATATATTCACATGCAAAAGAATGAGACTTCTACTTCATTTCATATATGAAAATTAACTCAAGATGAATTGTAGCTCTAAATGTAGCTAAAACTCTTTTGCAAGAAAACAGGGATAAATCCTCATTATCTTGAATTTGGCAATGAATTCTTAAATGGGACAGTCTTAAAATCATCGAGTAACAAAAGAAAAAATAAACTGGGCTTCATTAAAATGAAACACTTGTGCAAAGGACACTATGAAAAGACAACCCAACAGAAAAAAAAAAAGTATTTGCAGATCACGCATCTTATAAAACTTGAATACCAAGAATACAAAAGGAAGTTTACAACTCAACAACAAATGACCCAATTTTAAAATGGGAAAATAATTTGAATAGACATTTCTCCAAAAATGGTCAATGGTCAATGCTAATAGTCAAGAAGCACACTAGAAGCTTAGTCATTTAGAGAAATAAAAATCAAAAGCACAATGAGGCCAGGTGCAGGGGGTGTGGGGGTGGTGATGCATGCCTGTAATCCCAGCAGCTTGGGAGGTTGGGGCAAGAGGATCATGATTTCAAAGCTAGTCTCTGCAACCACGAGGTGCTAAACAACTCAGTGAGACCCTGTCTCTAAATAAAATACAAAACAGGGCTGAGGATGTGGCTCAGTGGTTGAATGCCCCCGAGTTCAATCCCCGGTACCAAGAAAATAAAAAGCCTTTCCTATCCCCAGCAGAATACAACAGACACTAGTATGGCAATATGTAAATCAGTGGATGTGTAACCGATGTGATTCTGTAATCTGTATACGGGGTAAAAATGGGAGTTCATAACCCACTTGAATCAAAGTGTGAAATATGATATGTCAAGAACTATGTAATGTTTTGAACTACCAACAATAAAAATTAAAAAAAAAAAGCACAACGAGATTCCACTTCACAGCTTTCACTTATAAGATGGCTATAATTTTTTAAGAAATTAAAAACAACAAGTTTTTGTGGAACATTTGGAACATTCATACATTGTTAGCAGAAATGTAAATTATTCAGTCACTGTAGAAAAAATTTTGGCATTCTTCAAAAAGTTAAACCTAGAATTACTATAAAACCCAATGATTCCACTTCTAGGTATATACCCTCCAAACATGAAAACAGATAAATACATGTATATCCATGCTCACAGCAGCCACTATTCATAAGAAATAAAAAGTAGAAAATTTCCAACAACTGATAAAATCTATAAAATATGGCATATCTATACAATGGAGCATTATTCCACCACAAAACAGAATAAAGTATTGATAGCATGCAATCATGTGGATGAATTTTAAAAACATTATACTAAGTGAAAAAGATGAACACACAAGAACACATTGTATGATTCTATTTATATGAAATGTCCAGACCAGGCAAATCCATACAGATGGAAAACAGATTAGCAATTGGTAAGGGAGGGGGGAACTCTGCATAGTTACTGCTTAAGGAGTATGGTATTTTCTTTTGGGATACTAAAAATACTAGAACTAAATAGACTGAGGTGATGGTTGCCCAATATTGTCAATGTACTAAATGAACTGAATTATAAACCTCAAAGTTAACGTAATAGATTAAGCATCTTTTGAGAGGTCAATTATCTACATAAGTTATATATTCTATACTCAAAATTAATACCGAGCTATAATAAAAATCTTGCTTAAAACTTACCGTAACTGATTGGAGAAGTCATCCTCTACGTTGTCATCATCCCAATTATCCTCCCAGACATGTGCATCCTCATCTTCATCTAAACCAGCCCAGTCTAAAAACAGAAACAGATGTCAAATATTTCTCATACATTATTTACACAAAATGAAAACTTCAGAAAGTGTGTCACTTAACATTCTTGCAATTCAAAAACTGTTAATAACATTTCTATGAAAAATGGAAATCTTTCTCCTTAAATCTCAGTTTTTGCTTTTATTCTCTCAATTCTTAAATTTGCAGCCAAAAAAAAAAAAAAAAAATACTACTTGCCATGAAAACTTTTAATTTCAGAAGGATGCTTACTTCACTGATTTTTATTTTAATTCATTTTTATAAGGCCTATTTTACAATCTTTCAAAATCTTTCTTCCCTTTTGGTGCTGGGAGTGATTTAGATTAAGATTTCAACTTTTCTTCATAATGGTCAGAAAATACATATGTAAACTAACACCTTCAGGAATTCTAGGCTGTAAATAAGGAATATCTATTGGGAAAGTAACACTAAGAACACAGAAGTTTTCAACCACTAGGTACACAAGAAGAAAGGAATATCTATCTATAAGGTGGTTCTCCTACAACCTAATGTCTAGTTATTACTTCTGTATAAAAAACCAAGGCAGCAAGCTGGATGTGGCAGCATATACCCATAATCGCAATGACTCAGGAGGCTGAGGCAAGAGGATCTCAAGTTTGAGTCCAGCCTTAGTACCTTAGTGAGACCCTATCTCAAAAACTAAATAAAGGTTAAAGGTACAGCTTGGTATAGAGCACCCCTGATTTAATCCCTAGTACCAAAATAATAATAATAATAATAATAATAATAAAAACCAATGGGCACATAGGGAATTATAAGTTGTCTCCAATACTCCTTTCCTTATGCTCTTAAACACTAATTCTTTATAACAATGTCTGGATTAGGAACACATTCTCAGTCTATGCCCTCTTCCCTCAGTGCTTCCCTAAATAATAAATTTTTTTAAGACTACATGTTTCATCTCCAAATCTGAATGCAGAACCCTCCTGTGAATGCTATAATTCTACATACAATTGCTCACTGGACACAAATTCAACAGAACAAATATTTAACTTTCTTCAGTTATCCTCACATGCAACCAATACACTTCCCTGGAAAAACACAGAAGCATTCTTTCAGTCTTACCATGTGCCAGGAAAGTCACCCCAAATTTTCTTCTCTATCATGACCAGGTCTGGTCCATTTCATTCCGTAAATCATATTCAAATCTATTCCTGTCTATCCCCATTACCTCTGCTCTAAATTAGACATTCACATCCTTTCTCACATACATACTGGCATATTCTAACAGGTCTTGCTTCTACTCTCTTGACTATGATGAAAATTTAGTTTCCAAGGCAATGTCACTATGTTCTCTTCATTTTAAATTAATCCATCCTCAAAACAAAAGATTTTAGGCATATCCTGCTCTTCCTCCTCTTAGATGGATCAACTTGCTAAAATCTTGACATAGCTTTGTTTTACACCCCACCATCCTACAGTACTATTTGTTTCAAAATAAAGATTATTTTAAATTGTTTAACATTCAAATCCAGCAGGATAACTTCCTGATAGTTATGTAACTTGAGGTACTCTCTCATATGCATTCTTGAAAACTGTATGATGAAGAATAACCAATAAGATCTTCATTTTTATTTAGGCCCTAATTTTTTACCTCATTTTTGAAACTGCTATGATTTTCTATTCATCTAGCACTTCATGTTGCTCCTCATCTGTCTATGTGCCACTAGTTGACCTGATTTATACTTATCTTGAATTTAATTTAAACAACATTCATTCATTCTCCCTTTGAATGAACCCTAGCTCCACTATTTAGTGGATTTAGGATCTGAGAAATGGAAAAAACAACATAAGTCAGGGATTTATTTTTAATGCCAGAAAGCACATCAAATGGTGCAGAAACCAACTTAAAGGAATAACACATTGAATATTTAAAAAAAAAAAAAATCCATGAGTCTATAGCAATACTAAAGAGACAAAGAGAAGACAGGACTGTTCTTGTTTATACCTACTATAAATGTTAACAGTGACAAAATTAGAAAATCACCATCTGCAAACTCTCAATGAAACTTAGGTAAAGATCAACAATGGATACTAAAATTATAGGGTGAAAAATGGTTGGGTAACAGGATAGACAGCTTACTCATTACAAAGGAAGAAATGGAAAGGCATAGTGGCCATCATCTTAACCAAGTGAGCTTAGCATCATTAATAACTGGGACAACTTGACACGGGTCCTTTATGTCATGTAATAAGAAACACTCATCACTTCTGTAGTACTCTGGCTAACAAAGTTGTAACTGAATCTAAGCATGAGGAAACCATAGGACCAGAAGGTGGGACTTACTACAAACTAGCTTGTTCAAATAAGTCAATGTCATAAAAAAAGAAAAACATCTAACAGCAACTGTTAGATTTAAAAGCACTGAAGTGATTAACAATCAAATATAATACAAATATAATATGCAAATTAACTGACCACAGGGCTAGAGGAAAAGTAATAAGACTTCTAACAATTGGCAAAATCTAAATATGGACTGTGTATATTTGGATGATATTAATGATTTAATGTTCATTTTCTTAATCATGATTGTGAAATAATTTTAGAGAAGAATGCTCTTAACTCTAAGCATGCATGCTAAAACATTTGAGTCAAGTGTCATTTTGTTAACAGCTTTCTTGGCAAATAGTTCTCAAATATGTATATTTTATATATAAATCTATACATGTGTAAAACACTTATTATTGAATATATTTTCTAACATGAGAAAATATGGCAAAGCATTAACAAAAATTCATGAATCTAGGTGTTAGTTGTCTTTAACTTTTCTATAATGTTAAATTTCAAATTTTAAATATGGGGAAATTGGTTTTAAAAAAAATCAGCCTGGAAACCACTCCCTCTGTTTTGTGTATCTCTGTATCACAACACTGATAATATTGCAAAATCATAATTATCAATCAATATGTTTATGTTCATCACTACCATTTGAGTTCCTTCAGAATAATAATTCTATCTTATCTTTGGAATCCTAAATTACAAACAGTACCTAGCAAATGCACAACATGGTTGTGAAAGATGGCTAAATCACAATTAACAATAAAATCAGATATTGGAATATTTGTTTGACTCCTCTCCCCTCCAGTAATTATGAGTTATACACTCTAAGCCATTAGTTTCATATTAGTAGTTACCTATTAGAAACATAGCTATAAACATTTCAATGTTAAAGGAAAAATAACCAAATAACAAAAGGTATGATTTAGGCTTTTATTACTATATACATATAGAGTTTTAGCTACTTCATGGTTTATAATGTGGGCATTTTATTTCAGTTACATTATATATTTAACAAAAATTTTTAAAATGGGGTATCATCATCATCATTTAAAAATAGAAGTATCTCCATTTACCTGGTCTCCCAAGCCAGAAAAGAAAAACTCTGGAAGCCCTTCAACTATCACAATCAATGATTTTTTTTTTTTTTTTTTTTTGTAACAGGGATTGAATTCAGGGGCACTCGATCACTGAGCCACATCTCTAGTCCTATTTTGTATTTTATTTAAGTACAGGGTCTCACTGAGTTGCTTAGCACCTTGTCATTGCTGAGACTGACTCTGAACTCTTCACCTGTCTTGGCATTTCTATTTCAATGCATCCCCAGTTTCTCACCTCATCTCTGTTCTTACTGCTACTGTATCAATTTGAGATTATTCCTTTGTGTGGTCTTTTTTCTGTTCCAGTTTTATGTATACATGAGAGGAACATTAAGTAAAGACAGTATGGGGGTACAGCCCAAGATGAAATTTTAAATTAAGAAGGAGCCTCTGGGCTGGGGATGTGGCTCAAGTGGTAGCACGCTCGCTTGGCATGTGCGCGGCCCTGGGTTCGATCCTCAGCACCACGTGCAAATAAAGATGTTGTGTCCGCTAGAAAAAAAAAACAAAAAACTATAAAATAAATATTAAAAAATTCTTTTTTTTTAAAGAAGGAGCCTTATATAAGACAGTAGATGTATTTCTGTGCAACATTAAATCAACAACATATTTTAATTTTTAAAGTTAAAAATGAATAAAGCATTTCAAATAATCCCAAATTTATTCTTTTAATTTGCTTTAATAAGTTATACATGACAGCATAATGCATTTTGATTCACTGTACACAAATGGAGCACAACTTTTCATTTCTCTGGTTGTATACAATGTAGAGATGCATCATGCAGTGCAGTCAAACAGGTACCTAGGGTCATGAAGTTCATCTCATTCCACCATCTTTCCTGCCCCCTCAAATTTATTTTTTATTAAAAGAAATCTAGATTCTTGTGTGTCAAACTTGTAATGGCACTATTGATCCTTTAGCAAAATAGCATTTATGATACGAGTAGTTATGATACTTCCTGCTAATTTCCTCCACTCTTGCTATAACCTATAGCTCTGCAGCTAATAATTTTACTGGACAGCTCAGGATTACATGTTTTTAGTTTTAATAACACTAAAATTTTCCTATATAGAAAGTGCATTTTATATTGCCATTAGAGCAAAGTTTGGCTTTATACTTCAAGATTTTATAAAATGAGAGGACTTTCTATCATACTCTTTTTTTTCAGGGGGGGGGACTAGCACCTTTATCACTATCAGAAAACAGTAAGAAAATATTTAATAACATTTTTTCTACCATCATTTCCCAATCTCAAACCCCAGGTTTATATAAATATGCTACTTGGGTTCAACCTAGAAACAGGAAGTCTCCATAAAAGTATCTAAGGAGTCTTTATAAAGATATCTAAAGGAGTTTAATGTTCAAAAAATATTGAATAAAGACTATATTTACATTCTTGAGTAAAAGGGTGAGACAGTCAAGATAGGAACTATTTTAAGATTCTAAGTCTAAACCACTACCAACTAAACAGGCTCCCCAAACTGTTAACTAGGTAACAGTTACATATATCATTACAGATGTTTCCCATCTGTAATGATATATAAAAAGTAAATGATCATGTCACAGATTAGAGTTTGAAATAT